CCCCCCACACCCTCCCGACCCCCACCACCCTCCCGACCCCCCCACCCTCCCGACCCCCCACACCTTACCGACACAACACCCAACCAAACTCCCCACAACCTCCCGCCCCCACACCCTTCCAACCCTCCACACCCTTTCGACCCCCACACCCTCCTGACCCTCTCACACCCTCCCGATCTTCCACCACCCCTACCGTCGTGTTTTTAAAAGGGCGAGCTATACTTGGTCAACAAAAATGGATAAATAGCCCTGCAATACTTGCTACACTGACCCCGGCTAAATACTGATGTGTGCGCGCACTTAGCCTTGACCTTGGTCTGATACGCGTACGCCGCTGGTGTATCGGGGCCAGTGGTCAATTAGCGGATGGAACCGCCGCGGACACCGACTGCGGCGTGACTGACGTCAGGTGGGGAGTTTGACCTACCGCGGCCCGCGTTGAATGAATGACGTCAGGTGGGTGTTTGACCTACCGAGGCCCGCGTTGAATGAATGACGTCAGGTGGGCGTTTGACCTACCGCGGCACGCGTTGAATGAATGACGTCAGGTGGGGGATTGACCTACCGTGGCCCGCGTTGAATGAATGACGTCAGGTGGGTGTTTGACCTACCGTGGCCCGCGTTGAATGAATGACGTCAGGTGGGCGATTGACCTACTGTGGCCCGCGTTGAATGAATGACGTCAGATGGGTGTTTGACCTACCGTGGCCCGCGTTGAATGAATGACGTCAGGTGGGGAGTTTGACCTACCGCGGCCCGCGTTGAATGAATGACGTCAGGTGGGCGTTTGACCTACCGTGGCCCGCGTTGAATGAATGACGTCAGGTGGGTGATTGACCTACCGTGGCCCGCGTTGAATGAATGACGTCAGGTGGGTGATTGACCTACCGTGGCCCGCGTTGAATGAATGACGTCAGGTGGGTGTTTGACCTACCGAGGCCCGCGTGGAATTTGCAGTTCATAAATAGACTCAAGTTCCCGGGGGAACCGGAGCTGTAAACTCCAGGGAACGGGCTTATAAACGAAATGCTATACCCAAATTCAGCTGAGCTGTAAGGGTGCTTTACCCACATTCAGCTGTAAGGGTGATATACCCACATTCAGCTGTAAGGGCGCTACACCCACATTCAGCTGTAAGGGTGCTATACCCACATTCAGCTGCAAGGGTGCTATACCCACATTCAGCTGTAAGGGTGCTATACCCATATTCAGCTGTAAGGGTGCTATACCCACATTCAGCTGTAAGGGTGCTATACCCACATTCAGCTGTAAGGGTGCTATACCCACATTAAGCTGTAAGGGCGCTATACCCACATTCAGCTGTGAGGTTGCTGTACCCACATTTAGCTGTGAGGGCGCTATACCCACATTCAGCTGTAAGGGTGCTATACCCACATTCAGCTGTAAGAGTGCTATACCCACATTCAGCTGTAAGGGTGCTATACCCACATTTAGCTGTAAGAGTGCTATACCCACATTCAGCTGTGAGGGTGCTGTACCCACATTTAGCTGTGAGGGCGCTATACCCACATTCAGCTGTAAGGGTGCTATACCCACATTCAGCTGTAAGGGTGCTGCTATACCCACATTCAGTTGTAAGGGTGCCATACCCACATTCAGCTGTAAGGGTGCTACACCCACATTCAGCTGTAAGGGCGCCATACCCACATTCAGCTGTAAGGGCGCTGAAGAGAGACTACGGCTGGATTTACTTTTTTTGTGTCTTATTAAAAATATAAATAGGTTCGCCGGTGGGTACGGGTTCGGACACCGTGTACTCTATATAGTACACCTCTGACTCCCTGTACTCTATATAGTACACCTCTGACAACCTGTACTCCATATAGTACACCTCTGACACCCTGTACTCTATATAGTACACCTCTGACTCCCTGTACTCTATATAGTACACCTCTGACACCCTGTACTCTATATAGTACACATCTGACACCCTGTACTCTATATAGTACACATCTGACATCCTGTACTCTATATAGTACACATCTGACATCATGTACTCTATATAGTACACATCTGACACCCTGTACTCTATATGGTACACCTCTGACACCCTGTACTCTATATAGTACACATCTGACACCCTGTACTCTATATAGTACATCTCTGACTCCCTGTACTCTATATAATACACATCTGACACCCTGTACTCTATATAGTACACATCTGACAGCCTGTACTCTATATAGTACACATCTGACACCCTGTACTCTATATAGTACACATCTGACACCCTGTACTCTATATAGTACACCTCTGACTCCCTGTACTCTATATAGTACACCTCTGACACCCTGTACTCTATATAGTACACCTCTGACAGCCTGTACTCTATATAGTACACATCTGACACCCTGTACTCTATATGGTACACCTCTGCCACCATGTACTCTATATGGTACACCTCTGGCACCATGTACTTTATATGGTACACCTCTGCCACCATGTACTCTATATGGTACACCTCTGACACCATGTTCTCTATAATGTACAGGGTTTGATCACGACCCCATGACATGCTCAGCAGAAATAGTTTAGTTACAAACGAAACCCAACTCAGAAGGGGGGGGGGGGGAGGGG